GCTCTCATATGACCCAGGAAATTGTCATATGAGCCACAGTGAACTGTGAAAAAAAAAATAAATAAAAAAAAATTAGAAATGTGAGAGCAAGTTTCCTCCCTATTGGTTTGTCTCTATCTTTTGGCAGGAATGATTTGAATAAGTCAATAGAATTACTAAAATGAATCCCTCTTTTGCAGGAAAAATAGAAATTCTCTTGCAGATGACTTGATATAGAGCTCATCCCACACCAAACTTTTTGCTGAGAAAAGCCACATGCATAAATGCTTATGAGATCTATGCACTCAAGCACTCAAAGTTGTGTACAGTGTATAATTTAGAACACTTCTCCCCCGAATGGCATCACTGCTCATCCGCCAGCTGGAAAACAACAGCTGAGCAGAGAGCCCAGTGCATGCCTGGCAACTCTGGTCTAAACCACAGCAAATCAAGCTTCCATTTGCCCCATGCACAGCACATCTCACCTGGTTCCCTGGAATGCCAGCATCAGCTCTCCACCAAGAATGGGCAGTGTGATGCACAACTGTGCTGCTCTGTTTGAAAATACTGGGAGAGAGCACACTAAGCGAATGGCATCAACACACCGTGAAGATGAGAGAAGTAAAAAATGGCAGAAAAAGCAAATACCTACAAATGCTATCTTTAGATTCAGTTATGATTTAGCATCTCAACACACCTTTTCAATGAAATTATTTTTGTGAGTCTAAAAACATTATTACTACTAAAATGAAATACTCCTTATCAATTTTGATGGGAGTATATTGGAATCTCACCCAAAGATGACCTATCTCTTAGATTTGTCATCTCAGAAATGACAAATGAGCTATCTGTTAGATTTTCCATGCCAATGTTGGTTTGTTTGCAGTCAGGCAAGTGCACTCTCCTTATGGCTGAAATTTTTCTGTAGCTCAGAAGACTTCATATCATTGAGGTTTCTTTCCTAAGAAACATTCAGGATTTTAATGCTTAGGAAGGTAACTAAGTAACCTGTAACTGACACAATCACATAGAGACGTGCAATCCATTAACTCAGTGTTTATTGCACTGCATGGAACTAACAGATCTGCAATTAAGTTCATAAGGCATAATACTGTATTTTAAAAGGCCACAGAAAAGGTGGGTATGAAATGAACTGGCAGAAACAAATCCTTTATCATCATGTTTGCCCTTACGTGACTGCATCCTGAAAGATGGCCTCCCAGGCTCTGGGCTGAGCTTGTACGGCCCTCAGCAATGAGCACGTGGCCCATCTCACAGCCTGGGTCTCCCCACATCTCTAGGGAAGAGAACATTGTTGATGGCACATGCTGCCCTAGTAGGTGGTACAGTCATTGTACCTGGAGGTGTCCAAGAACCATGAAGATGGGGCACTGAGAGACATGGATAGTTGGTATGGTGGGGATGGGTTGATGGTTGAAATGGATGATCTTAGAGTTCTTTTCCAACCTTAATGATTCTGTGATCCTACAGCTGTTTATGACGCTTCCTGCTGACTCCCCTATGGGTAACAGGGAGAATTACTGCATCCAGTTCAGGTGTCACCACGGCAGGCAAACACTGAGGAAAGATTGTCAGTAATGTAGGTCTGGATTTAGCAGCACGCATAGCACACTTTGACAGTTTGTTACTACTCTGGATCTGGTCCAAAGAATAGCCCTGATCCTTTACCACTCACTTAACGTGAACTGAAAAGAGCATGAACCAGCTCTCAGGCTAAATAATGCTAGTTGTTTTCTTTTAATCTTAATCAAAGGACATCATTTCTCAATTTACTTAATGGATATAATGCACATAACACATCAGTGATACAGGGACCCACATCATTAGAAATGAAGCTACGCTGTTGCATAGAACTATTAGAAATAGAAGTAAATGTGACTGTGCAAAAAGCTCTTCACTTAGCAGACATAAAGAAAGTGGAAGCTGATTTGTTCCATATCGCTATGTCTCAAGTTGGCAGCAGCTTCCTAAATCAAGTCCTATTTTATTCATAAACATTATACAGCTCTTTCAGTAATCCTGATTTTTAAAGCTAAGCAAACCACTGTGGTTTATTAACTACCACAGATTTTGTTAGCATTGTCTGTAACACAAACAATTCTATTTACTGCATACTGGGATGGTGTATGCTGATTTCCCAAACTGCACTTCAGAAAAAGATCACTCTAAATTCTCAGACTTGCATGATGATTGATTATCTGCTTTAATCACATAAATAATCCCAAAGAGATCTGTTGTATTCCATCCTCACATAATGACTAGAAACCTATATCTGGCACCTAAGGAGCCAGGAATGGTCCAGAGTTGGAAGGCAAGTGCACAAAGCAGGAACACTAAGAAATGAACGTAGCACCTAATCTTTGATTTCTTCTTGTGGTATTTAGCACAGACACTTGAAACACGTCTGCTATTCAGTTAGTGCTTCTGCCCTTGGTATCACCTTAAATCAGGCTAATGAATTATAATTGCAGATGGTTTAACAGCACTTTGGCTATTTTGACACTAAACAGATTTAGCATTGATTTCTAGCATTAGTTTATTCAGACAGCTTGTGTTTATATATAAATATGTACTCAAGTTATATATAAATACTATGCACACCATTATCTGTGAATTGAGGGGGAAAGAGCCTATCTCCTGTATTCCAATCTCAAAAAATCAATTCCTGCATCTCTGCAGCACACGCTTCACAAATCTGTATCCAAACATTGCATCTTACCCTGCAATGAGTCTGAGAAAAGGACAGGCAGCACTCTCATGGTTTAAGGCACTTTTTGGAGTTCAAGAGCAGGCTCAAGGTGCCCAGCAACTTCACCAGTGCTGTGCAATGCCACTGCTAGTATACTACAGCTGTTCTCTCAGATATACTTACAAGATCTCTCAGAATACTACTCTCAGAAGTCATTTATAATATCCTGGGTAGCCCCTGAAACTATTTCTCCACTATATTATTGCTCAAGTGTAAGCCTTCTTTAATGGTATATTAAGCATCACTGCTATTAATATTGCCAGGTCTCAGTCACCCAAAAGGCCTAAATGCTCTCAGGTAGCATAAAGTAGGCTAGTCCATAGCCAAAACAAAGCCACAATGCTTTTTTGGAGTAACTAGCTCTCAATTTAGGAAAAATGTTCCATTTACTGCTATGGTAGTTTTTCAATAGAAAACCAAGAGTGAGCACACACACCTTAGGAACAATTTTTGGAGATTAGCATTTGAAGAATTTTTGGAGCTGTAAGAACTTCCAAAAACCTGCCTAATCCCTATGCTGTCCTCCTCCATGTTTTGAGCTGGAAGTTCTAGCAATGGCAAACTTACTGTGCAGATTATGATCAGAAAATACTGGTTTGCATGGCCAAAAATATTAACTCAGAAGTTAAATCCTCCTTTTTCCTATTTGTTTTTGATCCAATCAATATAGACAGTATTTGAATTCTTCCTCAGAGTGTAACTGAGCTTAAATGGAATACAGCTTTTATTGCTGAAAAGTTGTCATTGACTGTCTTTACTGTTTCTATTGATCCAAGTAGTTTTTGATCACATTTTCCTGCAATATCTTTGTGAAATCATAGAATTTACTTCATTCAGACATGTTATTTAACTTACTGCTTTAAATAGTTACCTGCATTCTTTCTGTATCCACTAAACCACTAAAACCAAACCAAGCTGTGTTACATCCTATGGGCTAAACAATTTGAAAAAATACTTTTTGAACAGCAACTATCAACATATCATAAACTTCGAAGAAACAGAGTTAAAAAAGTCTTTCACTATCTCCAGTTCTTAGAATATATGACTAGGCCTTTTTACTAAAATGAAAGAAAATCAATTATTGAACCACATTCCTTATTACTGACACTTTCTGTGAATTAAGTCTAGCTTCAGTTTTTCTGGCTTCTTATAGTATATTTTACCATAGTAATTCCCCTTTTTGCACCGCTCCTTCAAGTTTGACTGTTTTCTTCCAATTATTTATCACAGAAATGAGCTGTTTTATGAGGCTCTGTAATGAAATAAAACCATTTTTTAAAAACTGCAAGGAGTTTCATTCATCGTCTTCATCATGTGTGGGATTTTCCTCAGATTGACCTTCTCTTTCCTTTCCCAAAATAAATTCACTCAGGTATTCATTCATTTTTCCACACTAGTGCCTGGGAGCAGTACCAGGGTCTATGGAAACAGGATGGATATTCTCATGATGCCATGACCTTACATACCAATCTCTTTAACCTGTCCAAAATGGTATTCTTCTATCAGATTTATCTTAAACTGCAGCGCAGCATGATCTTCTACTTCTTCTACTATTACAGAGCACCTTTTGACACCCCTGCTGACTCCCTCTACTTTAGAAATGACATCCCTATGATAACATTTTGAATATGCTCAAAAATAAGTCTGCCAATAACTTAGAATTAGCAGGTTCCTCTGATTATTGACTGTAATTCATTTATAGCACTTGAAATACCAAAGAGAGGCACTTCGTTGTGTGATGAAATTGAAGCAGATGCTGCTCCTGAGTGTACAGCTGCTTACCCATGAAACACAAAGCATAATGTTCAGCACTTAGTTGCAAGCAGCCTGCCTGGTCTGTCTGAACAGCTCTTCTCAGCCATGCATGGAGGAAAATGAAAGAGCTAACACATTACACAATTTACCCAGATGTCAGGATTCATACCCCTGGCTACTGACCCACACTCCTGCACCTCCCAAAGAGAAATTTCTAAAGCTTAAGGTATTTTTTGTTTCTTAAACGCAGAAGAGTTTTAAATGCAGATTTGTCAGAGTAGAAAAGACTGCTAAAATCAGTTAGTCCAACCACTGACCCATCAGCACCATGCCCAATAACCACGTCCTTAATGGTCACAGTGGACATACATTCTTACTTATATTTAATCAAGTGTCAGCTTCCTATGGCATCTTGAGGCAGTAAGTTCCACCCAGCAATTAGGTGCTCTGTGAAAAGTAATGTTTCCTTTTCGATGACAAGAAGGGTGGCTCTCACCTTGCCATGACCTGTAGTTGTCACATCAGGTGTGCCATAGAGCAGTTACCACTGGAGGGTAGTTGCTGTTGAGAGGAGATAATAAACAAAATTAGCATCTGCCTCTATATAGGAGCAGAAATGTTCAACAGGGACAGACAAATAGTGAGAAAAATATTCACAAAATAATAAACATTCACATTATGAAAATGGTGTTTGCCTTTCTATTCATGGAATATGCAGCAGAAATGGATCTGTGTTTTCTTAGGTTCATTATGCTGTTATGCACAAACAAAACCCACAGGGCTCGTGTCATTTCTGTTAGCTACACACATGGCCTTGGCCAAACCAATGGTCCCCAGTGCTAACCCAGCACCTAACTCCCCACACTAACCACAGCTCCCAGCCTGGGTTTGAATCCGATTATTTGTTTGCAGGCACCACTGCAACTATTTCACCTGTTAGCTTCTGTAAAATATAGGCAATTCATAACTCCTTGAATACTTTGTTTACACGTTGGTCACAGAGGTCTTAGAGAGAAAGTACTTTAGGAAATTGTCTTCCTTTCTTTACATTTAAGTTGCTCACTAGCACACAATTCAACAAGGAATCGCTAGCTCCCAGGTCATTCAATAAGTAAGAGCCAGATAGCTGCCTGTGCTCCAGGCTGAGTGATCACCCAGTCCTGCAGCGTATTTCAGCAGCATACTCATTTTCTCTTTTATTCTGCTTCTTTATCTGTGTTTTTTTTTTCCCACCAGAGCCTAAACACTTTCCTGTAACACATTAAGCAATATGAAAATTATATATCACCTCTGCAGTTCTCATTTTCATGTAGGCAATAGAAAAAAATACATTAATGTTAATGATCACTTTATACCTCTTCAATTCTTAACCTGCTTCCAGCTTTTCAGGGCAGGGCCCCTTTACGGGTTAGACCATTTGGGCTTAGTGTTCATCCTGGTTTTGAAATGTAATGCAGCGACATACCTTATATTTTAAGTAAAGCATTTATTAGCCTCTCTAGAGCAGAGTAGTTTAGAATGCCCAGATTCTGCAAGGCACTCATGGCCATTTCAATTGAGCAGACTCCCAAAAGACAAGCTGACAGCATGGGGTCAGGGCAGCAAAGTGCCCACCCAGATGCCCCAGTGCAGTAGACATGAAAACAGCAGCAGCCAGGGCCTACCAGTCCCACTGCTGTCCCCACCAATGCAGTCTGTTCAGCATTTCTCTCCTAGCTGCCCAAGGCCTGCAGACAATCGCTCCTCTGAGCTGTCTCTCTTTCTTTGGAAATATTTTTGAAAAGCCATATCATGATGTAAAAAAAAAAAAAAATAAAAATAAAAAAAAATCCCTATTAGTACTTATCTTTCCTCTAACATGATCTCCAGTTGTTTGGAGGCTTTATTTAATATCATCCTTTCAATTTCAATGTTCTTATTCTGAGATAAGAAAAACAATTCACTGCCTTGCATTTCTTTTATCCATCCTAATTAGTTTTCTAATTAATTCATAACTCCAAAAGCCTTCATTTATTTCATGTTTCGCTTTAACTTCTGAGCTGCCATAATCATATTAGCAATCAAACCCATTTTGAAAATATTTCTTCTCCCAGGAAGCATGGAAAGCTTGCACAAAACTGCCTCTGTGAATCTAATAAGCTTACTGCTTCTGCTTTGTTCTCCCTGATCTAATTTTCAAGTTTGCAGACATCTCACGATCTGATGTGAACTTACTCACACAAGAAAGATTCTTTCCCCCAGCAATAACACTGTTATTATTAGTTATTTACATTACAGCTCTTGGAAAGGAAACATCTGTAGGAAGCTTAGTGCACCAAGAGAGAGGGCACAGAGCACCTGGAGCCATAGGCTGAACCATGCTGCTGCTCTGTGGGGACACTGCACACATACCTGAAAAGAAGGTCTTCCACAATAAAGGGACAAAGACAACTGCAGATCAAACGGATGTGGCAGAGCCAGAAGCAGATATCCTTCCCCAGAACACTCTTGCCCTGATTCAAGGCAGCGTCACTCTTTGGAATAGCACTTAAATGTATGCTTGTCCTTGAGTATACGCTCAGTCCTGCTGAAGTTTCTGGAAGATAATCATCCTTGAGAGCACAATGAGGAAAGACAGACTTGGGGTATGATTGCAGTCCAGCCAAATTGGGATCTGGAATATGTAGCCCGAGAAGTAGAAAGTCATTGTCACGGCAAAATTATGGCACATTACTGTCACATATAGTAGGAAGTAAACGCAACGATCTCTTGTTCAACTGATACACTCATTTTTGCCACTTTTCCACTGTAAACAGAGAAAAACATATAGCACTTCCTGTAGCATCCCTTCTACTATTTCTGCTACCAAACTCTAGAGAAGTTTGGACTTTATCCCATGGTCACACTGCAATAGCTCCATAAAAATCCCAGCAAACACTGTTAAGTTTGCTCTCCCCTTCTGGGCATTTCAGTACCTAGAGGGAGCCTACAAACAGGAGAGTCAACTCTTTGAAACTCTTTGGTAACAGCAGGATGAGGGGGAATGGTTTTAAGCTGAGAGAGAAGATTTAGGTTTGATGTCAGGGGAAGTTCTTCACTATGAGAGTGGTGAGATGCTGGAACAGGCTGCCCAGGGAGGTTGTAGATGTCCCTAGCAGTGTTCAACACCAGGGTGAATGGGGGCCTGAGCAACCTGGTCTAGTATTAAATGGGGAGGTTGGTGTCCCTGCCTGTGGCAGGGAAGTTGGAGATCCATGATCCTTGAGGTCCCCTACCATCCAGGCCATTCTGTGATTCTGTAAATAGCACCACAAAGGATCTACTCAAAACCACTCAAGACCACTCAAACACGCCACACATTGAGGAACAGTCTCAGTCTCTATGTCTTCAAAAAAGTTCTGAATGCCAGAGCACGCTATTTTCTTTTATATGCACATAAAGAGAAAGGAAAATGCAAAGAGGTAACATAAATAACTTCTTAGTTTATACAAACATATTAAGAAAAGCAGTTGAAAGTAGCCCAGTTTCAGTGCAGGTTTTGCAGATGCGAGTTTTTAAACACTTTGGACACATCAAAGCATAAAAGTTATACAATCTAATTAAACATCCACCATCTCATCTCCAGAAGGCCCTACAGCATCTGCCCAAGGTTAATGCCACAATGAAAACGTGGACATAGATAGAAGGATAGGAATGAAATGGTGAGATCTGCTGGGTTACTCTAAGGACAAGTTTTGCTGGATAAAAACTACTGTGTGAGAGTTTTACCAAGGGTGAAAGGCTCATGCATACAGATGAAGAAAGCCTTGAACAAGACAGCTAGAAAAAAGAATTTATTAAAATATAAACATCCATGCATTTGTGTAATACAGAAGTCTTTCTTGCTTTTGGAATCTTTCAGAAGAAATCTAAGTGGCATAACATGACAGTTCAGTTTAAATTGCGTTAATCAACATTCATTTCTTTTTACTACAATATAGCAGTATCGTCACCATTTTGTCTTTTAAAAAGTGTTAACAACTCTCTTTATGAGAGAACATCGAATGAATTCATTCTCACACTAAAGACCTCTGCTCATAGCAGCTTTCAGTGAATTCACAGTATTTGTATGTTTGCACATCAGAACATTTGAATTCACGACTGGTGGATTCAGGGCTAAAAATACTACATGTGCAGCAGCATAGGAGATTTAAAAAAAAAAAAAAAGACAGATTTTTCTTCTTCTAAAAACATTCTGCCATGCTTTCATGTAAAACCACCCAGCAGCTGACAGTAGCCAGATTACAATGTTTGTGTAGGCTGCTGGAAATGATCTCCCATTAATTTTCAAATAACTTCTGGATGCTGTCAGTCACATGAAGTTCAATGCAATTTTTTCTTTTTGGTTTTTTTTTTTTTTTTTTTGACAAATGAAACTCAGAGTTCATCTGCTTACAAAAGCAACCCAAGGGCACGCTTGCAGCCCCCAAACAGCGAGCAAAGGCATGTTTGTGGACCTCTACTAAGGCACAGCACTCAGCTGCTTGCAAAAGGGCCTTACTGCTTCCCTAAGCATCTTTCATGAAGGATTTAATACTTGCCATCATCTCCTTCTGCTGTGCATTCCCCTGCCTGACATGTGAGATAGGATGAGTACACTTTCATTACTCTTCCTGTTTTGGCACCTCACACTGACAGCCAGCTTCAGGGAAAGCACAGTCCCTCAGGATCTGACAGGAATGAAAAAGAAAGCAGGCTGAATTTGGCAAATGCAATCAGTTTCAAAGGGAATCTCATAAACTTTCTTAGGCTGGAGTCAGCAGGTACTGTCAGTCAGAGATGTTTGCCCCTTTTCAAATACCCCCAGCTCCAGCAGTACTTACCATAGACCACTACATCCTTTATCAGAAGGACATGAGAGAACAGAACAGCTCTGACAAGCACACGACTGGCCATACATTCCTGCACTTTGTTCATAGAGGTATTCCATACACTGTAGGAGATAAGAACCCTTCACTAAGCACCTGGGGAATATTCATTGTTGTATGAACAACAGATATGCAGGTCTCTGTTTATATACTGTTCTGACAAAAGCCTTTAAGTTGCTCTTGCAAGCACCAGAGCCTCATTTTCTGACACTGAGATTTTAGAGTCCTCTTGAAGAGGTAAGAAATCAGTTGCTCCCACTTTAAAGTATTTAATCCCCTTCCTGGGTCTTTTCCATAGTCACCTGCATAACCAACGAAAAAAGGAAGTCTGGTATTTTATTTTCATATCACTTATTTCTCATGAGATATAGAAATGTTTTCACCTAGCTTTGTATACTTAGGTAGAAATGTTGATGACCGCACATAATCATAGAATCATTAACATTGGAAAAGACCACTAATATTGTCTAGTCCATGCCATCTATGCCCACTAACCACATCCCTCAAATCCATAGAAAAGTGTCACTTTCCCCAGAAGCAGCTGTCTCTCCACTGACTGTGCAGGGATCCCAGAGCAACAGCTGTCTCAGACTGGATGCCTCATACGAGGTAAATCCAGTCCCCTTCAGTGTGTCCTAAGCACTAAGTTGCCTTGACAGCCACTAACTTGCCTTTGTGTTCATTCTCGTCCTTCACGCTGCCACAGACATGGAGAAGGCACTGGTTCTTCCCATATAACCTCTAACAATCAAAATCTTGTTGGGCTTCTCTTGTCTCATACCTTTGAGAGCAGAAAGGAGAAGAGACCATTTGTCTTTTACAGTACATGAATGACAAAGGTTTCAAAACCACAGAGGACTGAATAAGCAGATACAAATATTACTCTGTATGCATAGAAAATGATATCAGTAGAGAACACCAAAATACATCTTTGAGACATTTCCATACTGGAGGGAGAAATAAATAAAAGTGCACAATAAAATTTTTAGAGCAGTTAGTGATTTCACTTTGGAAAACCTACTGTGAACATAGTTAATAACATAATAAATTCTTCTTTTTTGTGAGAAATGATTATTTGGGTTTATAAGGTATGACAATTTCTTGTAAATCTAATCTGTCAGCCAGTAATTAATAACATACAATTGCTTTGTGCCCTCCTGCACAAGCGCAGCAGTGCTGGGTCATGCACGCACCAAACACAGCTTTGCTTGCAGGCGAGCCCAAGTCAGCTGCACACACACAGAAGAAAGCAGATTCTAAGTGCTAAACAGCCATCAGCAGCAGCTCAGTGGGAAGCTCTCATTTTAACTGTAAGAAAGAAGAAGGTGATTTGACTCTGGTACTTATCAAATCAACACTCAAACTCTCTAATTTGCTGTGTTTCCATCTTCTATGCTCTGGATCCATGAAGGGGCTGAAATCTGCGTGAACCAAATTATTTCTCAACATTGCAGATGAACACTACAATTTTTAGCTATGGATTGAGTCCTGAAGAGGAATGAGAGAGTGCCAAAAAGTCAAAGCCGGGCAGCTGGAGGTGGCTTGGGAAATTCTGAAGACTCTGGGGGCAACAAGTCTTATGAGGAGCGAGCAGGGAACTGGAACTGTTCAGTCTGGAGAAGAGAAAGCACAAGGGAGACTTTATGGCTCTCTACAACTCCCTGAAATGAGGCAGTAAGAAGATGAGGATTAGCCTTTTCTCCCAGGTAACAGTAATAGGATGAGAGGTAATGGCTTTATGTTGTGCCACGGAAGGTTCAGGTTGGATGTTAGGAAAAGCTTCTCTGAAACTCTTTCAAGCACTGGAATGGGCTGCCCAAGGAGGTGGTGGAGTCACCTTCCCCAGAGGTGTTCAAGTACTGTGGAATTGTGGCACTGAGGGATGCCACCAGTGGGTATGGAGGGGATAGCGTGAAGTTGGAGTGGATCTTAGAGATCTTTTCCATCCTTCTAAAAGCATTTGCAGTTGAAATAAATATTGAAATGCTGTGTGAGATAACCACAGCTCAAACAGGAAATTCAAGAGGTCCATCTGAATTCTAACTTCTGCTTTGCTTTGAAGTGAAACAGGGCTTCACTTTAACCCTGAAATCACCCAGAACTTTACAGGGAGATACAGTGAGAAGCTGAACCAGAGGTCGGCAGACCACAGTGAGAAGACATAGCATCCAAGCACAGGAAAGGAGTTTGCACAGTGCTGAGTAAAACTTCAAATTTATATTTGTTCATTATAATTCTTGTTCTCAGTTGTTTCATATCCTTAAGAAAAAAATGAATGCACTACAGTGGTATTGTTAAAGCCTCAGTGGAGCCTGAAGTGATTTGGATTTTGTCTGTTTGATTTCATCTCTTGCTCTTCTCATTACCTGCCAACAGACAGATGCCAAAATCCCACTACGAAATCAAGCAGCTTTCATCTCCAAATTATCACAAACTCTCCATGAAGCTGGTGAGCACTGCCCTCCATTTCTCAAACAAAAAGACAAATAACAACAGAGCAACTTTCTGGAGTCAGAGAGAAACAAGTGCAAAGCCCAAAATGCAATTTAACATCTTCCCACGCTTTTATAAACTGAGCAGCAGCATAAAATGTACCCCTTATTGAGTTGTACTGGCACTAAGTCAGCAAGTACTCTAAATCAGGAAGTCAGTACAATTGAACAAACACACCTGTGACCAAGCCATCCTGAAGAGAAAATGGTTGGAAAAAAAACTGTTAGAAAATACAGCTCCATGAAGCCTGTGCTCCCCAAACAGTTCTGGTCCCAGTCATCTCTCCTGAGTCACAATAAAACTCACCCTGATCACCTCTACCCTACAGTGCCCTTTGCCTCCTGCTTTGTGTTGGGATTTTTCCTCAGGACAGTAGCTGAGCATCTAATACATAAGAATCATAGAACTGTTTGAGTTGGGACCTTTAAAGACTGTCTGATCCAACCCCTGTGCAATAAACAGGGACACCAACAGCTCCATCAGGTGCTCAGAGCCTCACCTTGAGGTGTCTCCAGGGATGGGGCATCCATCACATCTTGGGGAAACCTGCTCTAGTGCCTCACCACCCTTATCATAATAACATTTTCCTTACATCCAATCTAAATCTTCCTCTTCTAGTCTGAAACCATTTCCCATTGTTCTTTCACAACAGACCCAGCTGATGAGTTTGTCCCCTTCTTCCTTATAGTTCCTATTAGAGAACTTGAACTACAAGCTCCTACCCTGACCACAGCATTTCACATCTTACCATAACAAAACCCTGCTCTAAGCATAAAGCATGTCACTTTTATCAAAAGTCTCCAACTTCAAAGGGAAACCACAACAGAACAGGGCATCAAACAGATCCATGGGGCTTGTAAATGTTTATATAGCTCCTAAGAGCAAGACTCTTATGGTTCATTTTCTCAGCTAGAAAAGAAATCTAGTCTTCTCCTTTTTTCCTGCTTTTCAGCTTTTTCCTTGTTAAAAAGAAAAGAACAAAATTAGATTAAAAAAATCCTACTTCAAGTCAGAGATTTGGTAGCAAAGAACGTGGTCGGCATATAAAAATTCAGGACATCTATTCCTATAAAAGCAACATTTGAAAGCTTCTACTCAATTAGTGCTGCCAGTACAAATTGTTTTCACTGGAAACGACATGATAAAATGTTAAACAGCAGGTGGGAGCTCCATTACTAAACACCCAGGAGGAAACCAGAGGAAGGATTTTTTTTTAATCTGCAGAGAATTGACCATTATTATAATTGAGTAACCTCCTTTAAAAAGAGTAACCAAGCTAAATTTTCCTGACCTTAATTGCTTCACATAACTTTGTGTCATCTTTTATTGTTTTTCCTGCCCTAAGTGTCACTTGATATTCATGACAATCCATAAAGCCTATCACTCGTGATAATTGATGTCGTTAATACACATTCTTTGAAGGCCTTTCTGTCATCATTAGCCAACCATACGGGATGTGAAATCAATGATCTGAACTATGTTGTTAATAACAAGTTGGTGTGAATGAGTTTTTCTAAAAATAAGTATTCTGCAAGTTATTTAATTTATATCATCCCAGTAGACAAACAATAACCTTATTGAGAGAGCTGAGAGAATGCACGGACACACAAGACAGAGGTTACCTGACTAAACACTGCCCTCAGGCATACAGAGCACCCTGGCTGCTATTTCCCCTGTAAGATTTGAGCCAAAGTCCACAGAGTGGGCAGATGCCAAGATCCAATTCCTCCTCCTGTGACTGAAATCCTCCCTCAGTGACAGCTTCTTAGGAGTGATGTGGCTGAAGACGAGATCTGGTTGACAATCTCTTTACAAATGATGTGCTGTCAAGCAGAATGCAACTTGATTTGTGCATTTGCAATGGAATGCATCTAAAATGTTTACTCACAAGCTCAGCAGATTTGCTGATAAGAAATTAAAAGATATTATAGCCAGAAAATTTTAATGCCATTTATGAGAACGACTTTAAAGGCTATCGTGCTACATAAATAGTGTTTCACTGTTTAAAATGGAATGATTATCAATGGAAAAAGCATTAGCAAGGTTGGGAAATAAATGGCCCAACCTATCTCCAACTATGCAAACTGGGCACTGGCAACACTGAGTGAGAAGAAGAGATGGTGGTTGCAGTAGGGTTGATGGACTTTCCATACTTATTTTCCTTCATCACTGCTGTTTCCTACTGGAAATCAAGACAGCTTTGATTGGGTTATTTCTATGTCGTACTATGTTTTTCCATTGCTGCCTGATCTCTCCTCCTTGCTTTGAAGTGGACCATGAGGATACATGCCCCCATTTTCAATCATCTGTTCTTTGGGGGAAAAAGAGAACAAGGGAATCACACTCCAGCAACAGCAGCCAGTTTTTATTTGCACCCCTTACAATCAAAGGAACGTAGTTAAGAGGCTACAGCAGCATTGTGGCACCTGTCAACTTTGTCTTTCACTAAACCTCATTTCCTTTTAGCCTCCTCAAATCAATGCTGCTGGCTAATACATGGCTGTCCTGAGTACAAAGTTCAGTTCAGATTTCATACAAACTGCAATCCAGGATTCCTCTTTAAAAAGGTGTTTGTTTTCATTTTAGGTTTAATTATTTTAATTGTCAGCCATTAGAATTTGCTTTCGTTAGCTTCATATAAAGCAAAGCATTTCCTCCTTCTACAATCACTAACTAACTCACGTAAGAAAAAATACATTACATTGATTTTCGACCATAGGAAATACCTCAAGGAAAGGATTGATTTTCCTCCATAGGAAACAAGACATTAATATTTTTAATCCAGCTGCTGCATTCACTTATCATGTACAATATGAAGAACTGGGCCATAAAAGTGAAATTAAATGCAGAACAGCACAGATCACTCTTCTCTTATGTTATCTTCAAGTTTTTAGTATTTTGGCAGGGCACAACATAAACCTTTAAGCATTATCTGCACCCATCTAATTTCCAGGGGGTTTGTACTTATTTATGCCCCTTTCTGGGATGCTCTTTGGACATGACATATTTTGTCACGTGTCTGATTTCAGTGAGCAGACTCTGGATGCAGAATTAGCCACAAAAATTGAGTAAGAGTAGAAAAACTCAGCCCTGTGCTACAGTACCCTATCATATGTCACTTCCATGAAAATTTATGACTGAAGATACAATTCATAGGCAGCTTAAAAGATTTTATACAGGGTCTGCATCATCTTTCACCATAAAAACATCCATGTAAATTTTCGCAGTGTAAGGATGTAATTACATCAAATTTAAATAAAAGCCATGGTCTGAATAAAGAAGGAAAAAAGCTAGAAATAACAGCTCTAAGCACTGTGAAGTTTGCAGCTTGAATGCTACATTAGAGCTTGGACTAACCCTTAGTGAAATTACATCAATCACTATATTCTCCTGATGTCCTTATCATGGACAAGCTGCTGCTGAACAGGAGGATTCCTCTATATGTCACATTTGCAAAAATGATTCCCAGCCTTGCTTCCCTTCTCTGCACTGCATGCACAAGGGGAAAAAATCAGCTTTCTGCGCTTTGCATGCCCGTGGGAAGAGTTGAGCACTATTCACTACATTCCCTGCTGTTCATGCAAAAAAATCCATGTGCCATCATAACCATTCCCGGGCAGATGGTGAGACCAGGGCAAAGCAGTAAGGCCAGCCACTGTCAGCAGTGCCCCAGTAAAGCAGGAGATCTGTTTCTGAGCAAACACTAGGATCCTCCTTGATCAGGGCTTAGTAGAGTAGATGTCAGGCAGGTGAAATCGTTTTGGACAGCATTTTCAGTACCTGTAAACAAAGTATCAGTAAAAGGTTGAATATGTCCTGTCTTTCACACTGTAGAGAGATGCAGTCATTGATCGGGACGTTAGGCTGCTGAATTATTGAAAGGAAGACTGATTATTGTTGCATCTAAAGCGGCACAAGACATCAATAAGAAACTTTCCACACTCAGCACTACCACAGGCAGCTCCTATTTTAAGGAAAATATGTTGGCCATGAGCAGAAACTTGACTTTTCTCACTGTTACTCAGTGATCATCTGCAATTAAAAAAAAAAAAAAGATAATTAGTTTTAGCTTAATAGCTCTGAAATCAAACACAATGAGTGTCATAACAGACTCTGGCGATTAAATGCAGCTTCTAGGGTATTATTTTAATTGCTCAACAAAAAACACAACCCTAATTCTTCCAACCTGCCTCTTCTATGAATGTACCAGGAGTTTCCAGTCCATCTCTCTCGTTGGTCTGAATTTATCCATGAAGTTTCCTTGAGCATCACAAGAGTTGTACATGTTAAGGTGAAAAATAACCTAAAAAAAGAAAAACCAGCATACTTGCTTCAGGTGTGCATTCATCATATCTCAGATGTGCAGATGGCACAAAGAAAAGGCCCCATAAAATGCAAAGAGATGGAGTCTTCCAGCCAATCAAAAAAGGAAACCAAAAGCTGGTGCCCATCTGCCACACGCAGGAGGCAATCTGTGCATCAGTGGCTTCTGCTCCAAGTGACGTAGGTACACCAATGTGGACTCCATGAAGTTTTTCCTTCCTCACAGACATACTCATTTCCCAAACTTTATTTTCTACCTAGCTCAGGCAAAATTCTATTCATTTGCCTTTCTATCATTTTTCTGCCTTTTTATATTTTACCTAAGCTCAAATAGGTTCCTTGACAGACTTCAATAATAGCTACCGAAGGGATAAGAAGTCAGGAATCTTCTGTAAGACCTCCATGCTCATTTGATGTTCATTACACACCAAAGAGCAAATGAATCCACAAAAGGCATTCATAGATGCACTGTCAGCCACGCTGGTGAAATATCCCAGACTCATCATCCTTTGAGATTCAGCATATACATTGGTGAGATCTCACATGAAAGAAAAAGAACTACTTTGAAAGTAAGAAATCCCCACTTCCCAAAGATTTCGGAAGTCCCCAAGGCCATGCAAACATGCAAAGATATTTCAAGTCTCACAACCAGCCACAGTCTCAAATTCTTTACCCTCTTGCCAAGTTACCAGTTTCAGTGTCCGCAGGCATCAAGCCAGAACCACAGTATGTTACAGACCACTGAACATCATGGCTTATCCTCTGCCTGTGCAGCTGAGCTGAACAGCTCAGTTTCCAGGGAATGAGCTGATTTCTTTAACCCATATCTAATTTTGAAGATACCTTCCCTATGAGCAACGAAGGAAAACCATACTTGTGCCACGCTTGCTTGGCTTATGGAGTCCTATTCAATATCTCCACAGAAAGCAAGCTTGGCAATAACTGAGCTCCCCTGTCAGTGAGATGTGGCTGATGCAAAATTCAGATACACAAGGGGCTGGATACAAAAGATCAGTCCATCCATAAGGAGCAAACAATTACAGCTGAACCCACACCAGGAGGGAACTGACACTGATGGACTGTAAAGAGAAATGTTTGCAGACATAGCTCATCCCTCCAGTGGCTGATTGTGCCCACCCACAGCCTGCAACAGCCAAAGAACACACCCCCGTTGCCATCAGACAACAGCAACAATGAACATAGTTTCGATACCCCTTGCAGAATACAAGCTTTCAGTCTATCAAAGAGCATCTTAGCACTAACCTGCATGCCTTTGTTAGTTGTGGTAGAGCATGTACAACAATCTATCTGGACGTGAAGCCATCGGTATCCAAGAGTGCTGTAGAAGACACAGCCACATGGACCAGCAGGAGCCACTCTGGATGTCTGACATTCTCCTGCAGCTGCTCAGGTAACGTCCTGGCCACAGTGATGTCCCCATCACAATCCTCCAGTTTTCAGTGGCTTCAGGTTTAAGGCTATGGTCCCAAGCTGTTCCTCAGGTAAGATGGCACCCTGTGCCACCAGGTCTGTCCATGCAGAGAACATCCTTGCTGACTTGTGCAGGACATCTGAAAATGTCCTCTACACAAAAGCTAAAAGGAAAGAGCAAGCCTTTGGTCATCCTTTTAGTGTGTATATTTTAGTGTATGGTGCATTGGGAAATACTTAGGGATTATAGCACAGAAACACACGCAAAACCTAACAAAACAATAAGCTGTTTAAAAGTGAAAAGTCACTACATATTTGAGAGCAATTCATAGTAAAATTGTCACAAGCTGCAGCCAGTTTGTTTGATTGTATGTAGCTGTTAGCCTAGCAAATGTCACTCTCATTAGCTTGTTTTCCATAGCGGCATCTTGTTACACACTTCGACTGAACATCCCGAAAAGCAGTGATTATCTGCAGTTATTCATTCCGACACGAAGATCCCCAGATGAGGATATCCAGCCACTGCTCACTTATAAATAAATACAAACTCAAACACCTTAGAGCTATTAAGGAGACAGGCCAAGTTTCCTTATTCTGCCCCAGGTACTTAGATCACATCTGTTCTTCCCCAGAAATAACATTATTACTATGCAGTTCAGAAGAGGCTGTAAATCAGCCCTCGTGAAATGGGATATATTCATAGTTGCCATTTACTATTGCCAACCAGTTATAGATTTCCAATAAACAGGTCTTGTTCACTGCAAAAATTAGATAATTGAAACTGTTTCCTTCAATGTTGTGGTCTCAGAGGTGATGCTTGTGTGTTGCACAAGTAGGGGACAGCAGCCGTAACCCACTTCCACCATCCGCTGCTGTCCATTTGGTTTGTCAGTAAGGACAGAGCTTTATAAGATATTGGCTGGTCAGCTTCTGTCACTTGCTACTCTGCGTGAGCAACACCTTTTTTCCCCTGTTACTAACTGTATCTCAGCAGAAATATTGAACAATTGTAACAGTATGGAATCCTGTCAAAAGCAGCAGTCCCTAATCATTCTGTTATCTCTTCCACGTTGCAGATTGCTAACTACACATTATAATGCAGGAGTAAATACATCAGCATATCTGCTAGTATAACAAATACTGCCTAACAAATTGCTGTGCAGCCATTTCCATTGAAGAGTAACGTATCTAATAAAGATTTAATTAGATTTCTCTGCCTTTCTGATTAAAATCTTAGGAGTAAATATGAATATTTTGGATTAGTCTGTGCAGTGAGGTAACAAAGGCAGAGAATTTTTTGGTACAAAGTATTTGCATGAACCACAGTCTAAGGACATATATGTGTATTTACATCTCCAGTTTAAACAAAAGGAAAAAAAAAAAGAAGATTCCCATTCATTAAATTAATCCATATAATTTCTCTTCAGCTAGAACCATATTTCAACCAACTTCTCACTACAACAAAAGTCCACTTAGCCATTAACTGTTCAAAACCTATATACAACTATAGCACAAGAAAAGGTACCTTTCTCCTTCTGTGCTATGCTTTTTCAGATCATGATCAGACTAGTCACTTCCTCACTAAAAGTTTTTTAAAATTAAACAGATGTAGTAGCAGATAATCTCGCAGTTGGTGGAGGTGGTGGTTGGATGACCTATCACATATTTGCCAGACACAAAGCAGCAAATTCTCTCAAACTTCTATTTCTTAATAAAGAGTTTCCTGTTTTTTTAAGAGAATCAGCCTGTGCTCAGTTCGTGTGAGATAAAGTGAGCTCTGCAACAAGTACACGCCTAAAGAGCGCGTGGTGATTCTCTTCCATTCTGATGTAGAACTTTGCCGCAGAGGCAGCTTTGGAAACAGAGCATTTTCATTGCACTCAGAGACACAGAATTTCATGCAGTCCATGTTAACAAACATGACTGTGTCAAAGGAAAACTCAATCCACATTATTAATTCTTCTCCTACAGAAGAGAAAACATGTGATAGTCTTAGTTTCAAGCTGAGACAGAATTGTTTTCAACAGTAAGCTGCCCAGAAGCATAGAGTACCCTGCCTTTTTATCTTTTATAATACTTTCACACTACGTTCTGCATCATTCATTTCAAGATCAAGATGATATTCTTACTCTTACTAATAATATTTAAACTATGATGTACCTGCAGAGAGATACACAACTGCTCTGCAAGAGAACGCTTCAAATATTGAAGCTGGCAAGTCCTTTAGCCATAAGCCAAGAGATTCATTGCACTTGTTAAAATTGAAATATGCAATACCAAAAAAAGAATAATTATAATTTACAGGAACAGTATTCAGTGAATGGTTTGATTCAAGTCATCTGCATGTGCTGCTTTCAACAACCACCCTTCTGCATGAAAAACTTCGAGTTCAAACAGAACAAATGGAGAACTGTAATTCATGTTGGTGTTTTATGCCACACAATGACCATTCAAATAGAAAAATCCCCACTGATTACGATTATTTGTGAGCATTGGTAAGGACAATAAACTATTTCTGCTAATTAATGAAGATTAGAATAGCCTTGCCCTATAGGAAAAATATTTATAAGCATCTTCTAAAATAAATTTTATATCAAGAAAGAGCTAAAATTCTGGCAGCGTGGTGACATTAGCAAAGAATAGACAATAGTATTGATTAAAATGTGTATAATATCTTAATTAAAAATGCAGCATTCTGCATTACAGCCAATATATTAGTATACTTTTCAACCACTTTCACAAGATCAACACATTTTTAGTTTTAAAATATTTTGTTGAAGTAGTTTGCCAAATCAGGGGGTAAAATGTACAACATTTTTTCCATTAGTTTTAAGTAATTGAAATGCAAAGTGCTGAGCAGTTAATCTTTCCAGGCAGGAAAAGCTGCCTGCTGTCAGATTTTCTTTTTTTTTTTCTTTTTTCTTTTTTGCCACTCTTCATAGAGTCAATAACAAGTGTCTAAACCCAGGAAATGATGTAGTGGTAGTGTTCAGTGGTAAGGATATGATAAGGTGCTGTTTGCGTTCTGGATAATATGAGAAAGTCCAACATGTACGCAGGAAGATTCTTCTCCATGTCAACTAATTAGCATGTTTATTGGATGCATTAATTATTCTGACAAGCTCGTGGACAGTTAAGTGTGTTAACTCCTTCTACACTCCCTTCCTACATGGCTTTCCAGGCATTGTTTACATGCCCGCCATCACAGGTTTCCATACCTAATTTAAGCCAAATGAAATAGTTGTTTTTAATTCTAGCATGTTTTAGAAATCAAAAATAAATATGATTCTGTTTCAAAATACACCCAAGAAAAATACAGTTTGGTAAAAATCAGAAAACCCTTGACATCTTGTGTCTGAGCATGGGGTGCTATTTGGATCTCAGAAAGATGGATTAGATTTAAGCCTACATCTGAAAAACAAAGATCCCCATATTTACACAGCCACCAAAGATGAGCACAGAGTTGTCTTAATTCTCAGTGAATGGCTGCCATATAAACTACACAACTTTCTGATGCATCCCAAAATGCAGTCCCTATATACACGTCCAATATAAAAAACTGCTGAAGTATTCTCAAGCTAAAGAGTTGGAATACTGAAATCTCACCTGCAGCCTCATGTCTGGTTTCTGCTATCCTCCCACCACAATGAGCTCCAGCCCCATTCCAGGCACTGTTTTATCTCCTGCTTTATGCACAGGACTTCTACCAAAACCCCATAGCAAAGCTGGGACTGCCAAATGAGCTTCAGAGGACTGGTTTTATTTCATCTTTGTCCTGTGCTATGACAATGTTTGGGCAGCAACACAGATACATCCTATTTTCTCCTACTTTTCTTCTTTCTCATTTATTTTCTTTCCACTTCCTCCAACATTATTTCTCATGTCTGTCTTCCCTACGCTTCAAGTTTCCTAATCCCATTTCTGCCTCTTCACACACACCTTATTCCATCTTCCCTGGTTTCTCCTCTCTTTCCTTCACATGCTTCCTGCAGAAAAGTTGCTATTCTTGACAGGAATATATATGAAAGGAAAAAATTGGTCTTTAATAGCTTGCAGTTGCTGAGCTCTGATGGTGCTAGCTATGGCTTTTTTACATGCCACAGGATATTTTCCTAAAGATTTCTTGTTACTCCTGTTTGCATATTACATACAAGCAAGATGGGGCCAAGGACAAAACACTTCAAATGCCTCATAATGGGGACATCACATAAGGCTGTTTTTTCCCTAGTTCAGCTTCTCCTGCTTTCCTTTTTGTCTCAAAAACTCAGACACTAATTATCACTATCTCAGACCATCATTAGCAAAGTAGACACAAAGTGAGTTAATATTACTTCAGGGAGATCATTACTTTTACAATCCCACCACGTTTTTTAATATAACTTTCATTAGAGCTGTACCCCCAAGCATTTTGGGGGAAAAAAAAAAGAAAAAAAACAAGAACACACTTGTGAGACTGAATAACTTTGAGGTAAAAAAAAAAAAAAAAAGAGAACTTCGGAATCTACATTAAAGGAAAAATAGAAAGTGAAGATGAAATCCAGAGAACAGTGAAGTGGCTGAGGCTGAGCTAGTAATAGCGTTTGCAGGCAGATCCAAACTCATCTGTCTGATATTGACCTGATACAGGCTGAAATGACAAATAAACATCTGTAATGAATACAGTGGTCTGCAGATAGGTGTAGAGTTGAGAGGTACAGAGGCAAGAGTTAGGAAAAAGCAAAGCTGGTTTCACTGTTGGGGCATTTCAAGAAGCAAATGAAAACTAGTGCTGCTTTTACTCTTCAAATTATGAGCACAGCTGCGTTGCCTTAGGGATCGACAAAGTAACATAAGTCACTACAGCAGAAGAAATCTTGGGATGCTCCATGCTTATTCAGGAGATATCTCAGAAGCCAACCTGCTACTATACAGGGGAAAACAGAAGAGCTTCTACCCAGAAACAAGACCTCACCAGAGCTGTTAGCTGACTGTGCCTGCATGCTTAAAGGCAGCTCCTGTCCTGGTGCAACTCTAACAGAGCTCCAGTCAGTGACTCTGGTACTTCTCTGTGAAATGCTGCAACACAAGAATCAGTATTGAATAAGTATATAATGGCACAGGAGTGCACATAACTACCATTCAAAAATCCACTAGACTCACCTACCTCTTTAAGCACGTCAAAATT